ACTGTCATGGGTCATGGGGTATGGTATGAGGCTACTGTCATGGGTCATGGGGTATGGTATGAGGCTACTGTCATGGGTCATGGGGTATGGTATGAGGCTACTGTCATGGGTCATAGGGTATGGTATGAGGCTACTGTCATGGGTCATGGGGTATGGTATGAGGCTTCTGTCATGGGTCATGGGGTATGGTATGAGGCTATTGTCATGGGTCATGGGGTATGGTATGAGGCTTCTGTCATGGGTCGTGACACAGGACATGGAAGTAAATAACTGCAAATTTATATAAATATCATTCGCTTAATCCCAACTATGACGGTCTTCAGATTTTGAGAATACTGTCATATTTATACATAGGCATTAATGTATACATGTGCGTGTGTGTGTGTAATTACCTAAGTGTAGTTACAGGATGAGAGCTACGCTCGTGGTGTCCCGTCTTCCTAGAACTCTTTGTCGTATAACGCTTTGAAACTACTAACTGTTTTGACCTCCACCACCTTCTCACTTTCAGAAAGGTGCCAACCGTCTACGGTTTGCACAAGTAAACTTTCTAATTCTTTTCGGCACCTTTGTTTCCTTAGCTTGAATCTGTGTCCTCTTGTTCTTGAAATTGCTGGTTTTAGGAATTCTTTTTTTGTCAATTTGGACCATTCCCGTTATTATTTTGTATGTGGTGATCATGTCACGTGTGTGTGTGTGTGTGTGTGTGTGTGTGTGTGTGTGCACATTTAGGAAAATGCTTGTAGGCGCTCAAATGCACATGCTTGTGTGTGCACATTGCGTATGCGTGTGTCTGCACATAGCATTTGCGTGTGCGTGCGGTGTTAATCACTACATAGTGTGTGCGTGTTACACAACCATAGTCCTGTTCTCGTGGAGCTACCATAGCTCTCATAGGCTGTCCAGCTGTAAGCATGTGTGTTCTCATTGGTCGACGTGCCCTGTGAAGCTCTCATTGGTCGACATGCCCTGTGACGCTCTCATTGGTCGACATGCCCTTTGACGCTCTCATTGGTCGACATGCCCTGTGAGGCTCTCATTGGTCGACATGCCCTGTGAAGCTCTCATTGGTCGACATGCCCTGTGAAGCTCTCATTGGTCGACATGCCTGTGAAGCTCTCATTGGTCGACATGCCCTGTGAGGCTCTCATTGGTCGACATGCCCTGTGAAGCTCTCATTGGTCGACATGCCCTGTGAAGCTCTCATTGGTCGACATGCCCTGTGAAGCTCTCATTGGTCGACATGCCCTGTGACGCTCTCATTGGTCGACATGCCCTTTGAGGCTTTCATTGGCCGACATGCCCTGTGAAGCTCTCATTGGTCGACATGCCCTGTGAGGCTCTCATTGGCCGACATGCCCTTTGACGCTCTCATTGGTCGACATGCCCTGTGAGGCTTTCATTGGTCGACATGCCCTGTGAAGCTCTCATGGTCGACATGCCCTTTGAGGCTTTCATTGGTCGACATGCCCTGTGAAGCTCTCATTGGCCGACATGCCCTGTGAAGCTCTCATTGGCCGACATGCCCTGTGAAGCTCTCATTGGCCGACATGCCCTGTGAAGCTCTCATTGGTCGACATGCCCTGTGACGCTCTCATTGGTCGACATGCCCTGTGAGGCTTTCATTGGCCGACATGCCCTGTGAAGCTCTCATTGGTCGACATGCCCTGTGAAGCTCTCATTGGCCGACATGCCCTGTGAGGTCTTCATTGGTCGCTGTATAACTTGTGAGGATCTCATTTCATAGTGAATAATCGACTCATAATTTACCCAAAAGCAGTACCGATAATGATAAAGAATTCCATAGTTAATCTCCCAGGGCCTGGAGGCCACAAGCCCTCGGGTGACACATACCATTTTCCCCCTTATAGTGCGAGAGGTTAAGGTTGAAATAATGTTTGTTGAGTTTAGCGGAGCCGGTTAAAGTTAAGGGTTTAGGGCGTATATTGACCATATCCTGGTGGGCCCAGGGGTGCCAACCCTGGGGTAATTGCCCTGACTTAAGGGTGCCAGCTCTTCTAGGTAGGCCTAGAAGGGTAGGCCTACCCTTCTAGGTAGGCCTACTGTTTAATACAGTGTGTTCTAGCAGTTGTGACACCGTTGGGAGTCCTATTAGAGTCTGAGGACGGTCTCATAGTCGCTCTAGTATTATCCACCTTTAATAAGCTTTCACTGTAATTGAGTATTGAATATGGTATTATTTTTCTTGCCTTGGGATCAGCTCCTGTGTTTCATGCAAATAGGAGCCTGTGATTGTATTTGTTAGGAATACAACAATGTATGGCTTGGTGCCACTCTTGTGGGGGATTGGGTGATTGTTGTCGCCAGCGGCGGGTATTGTATTCTGCACCTAATGCATCACATGATCTATTTTTGGTGAGTGGAAGCACTCAAGAGGTCTTTAGTAGATGTCTGTTATTGATAATGGTTTTTCTAAGGGTTCACTGTATGGATGAGGCGTCTTGTGTGTGTGTGGATGATGTTGATACAGTGTCAACGTTTCAGGGTTCTTATTGGCGAGAAAATGGGCATTTTCTTGCCTTTGAAAAAACTTGAACATTTTGAGATTTTTTGAAAAAGTTGTTTAAATGAGTTGTGAATTTATAATTATTGGAAGAGAAAACATGAATGCTTATTAAGAAATCTTCTCAGGCTTGTAAGTGATGCCAAAAGTGGACATACATATTAATATGTAAACACCCTAAAGTTGTATTGAACAAAAATGTTGGGGTATTAGCATTGCAAATTGTTGCATTAAGTGCACAACTTTTATCTCCCCTGTAAGTCCATCCCCTTAGAACTTGTTCAAATCTTTCCCTCCTAATCCTCCTCCTCCTAGGCCCATTATTCCTCCCCCTTACCTATACAACTCCCTTCACCCCCCCCCCCTACCCTCAGCTCCACTCACCCATGCATCTAAAACACTTCCCCCCCTACCCCCTACCCCCTCCCTCCATGGTCCCACTCTCCCTCCACTGCGCCTCTTCAACAACCAGCCTAAACTATTCTGACACGGGGAATCAGATTCAGGTCTTCCGCTACACTGAGTCGCTGGTCTGTCCTCTCACTTCCTGGGCCAATATATTCGATATCCGCTGGGATATCCAAATTGACTCGGTGGCGTTTCCTTGACACGAAAAATACAATTTTTGTTTTTAATTTTCATTCCGATATGGCAAGCTTTGGTTAGCTTCTTGAAGATACACAAATGTACACAAATTTCAGCACTATGCATATGTACTCATTTGTACTCGGTAATGTGCTAAGGGTTGGATGCTGTAGAGGCAAGAATGTGTTTCACTCTCTCTCTGGAAATGCTGGAATCTCCCAAAAATGTGGCCAGGATTTTTCAAAGAAACATTTTCTTTTTATAGGCTATAAAGTGTCGCAGTTTAAGGGGTGTATAACTTCATTCCTCGGAAGACCTTGACTGTCACGGTCCAGTGTCATCTGTGGCCCCTTCACGTTGGCGGCTGTATTGATGAGGATGGGCTGTATTGATGAGGACGGGCTGTATTGATGAGGATGGGCTGTATTGATGAGGATGGGCTGTATTGATGAGGACGGGCTGTATTGATGAGGATGGGCTGTATTGATGAGGATGGACTGTATTGATCAGGACGGGCTGTATTGATGAGGACGGGCTGTATTGATGATGATGGGGTGTATTGATGACGACGGGTTGTATTGATGAGGAGGGGCTGTATTGATGAGGATGGGCTGTATTGATGACGACGGGCTGTATTGATGAGGATGGGCCGTATTGATGAGGACGGGCAGTATTGATGAGCCCCAAGCCTAGTTAATGCCTCGCATCAGGAAACTTGCGTTAGCTGGAGATCGTGATTTTGAAGGTGGTTGTGGTGTTGGTCTGGTGGTACCGGATGGGCTGGCCGGGCCTGGACCGGTGTTGGGGGGGGGGGTTAAAGACCAATATCAGCCCGCGGGAGGGTTATTAAGGTCACCATAATGGCTTATACTGACCAGCCGGCAAGGTTGACTTTTACCTTGAGGGGAAAAAATCAACACTGTGTGGATATATACCGAGAAACAGGGTATATACACTTCTTTATATATATATATATATATATATTATATATATATATATATATATATATATATATTATATATATATTCCCATCATGTACCTCCTGGTATGAGTGAAGATAGAGGTCTTGAAGCTGAATTCATGAGATGATGTGAATAAAGAGAGAGAGAAAGAGATCTTTAGAGATGCAACTGATGTAGTAGTCCTGAGGGGACGAAGCCAGACCTCTAGCCAGACCTCCTGGCTTGTGGTCTGGCCAACTAGGCTGTTAGGCACCGCCTCTCGCAGTCTGACGTATATGGCTTACAGCCTAGTTGATCACGTATCATTTGAAGGCGTTTATCAAGTTCCATGGATCATACCTGAAGTGGTTTCTGGGTATTCTTTTACTCTCCGAAGCCTGTCTTGGAGCCAAGCTGGACTTGGGATAACTTGGTCCAACAGGCTGTTGCTTGGAGCGGCCCGCAGGGCCACATATCCACCACAGCCCGGTTGGTCCGGCACTCCTTGGAGGATAATATGAGGACATTTTTTGGGGAGTAGGAAGTCGCCATTATAACATTCGTGCGGCTAAGAGAAGTTTGAGAAGATTGCAAGGCATTATGGGATCACCGTCTCACTGTGAATAGAAACAGCTGCTCTACACAGACAGATGGATGATCTGAAGACAACACGGAACGTCTTGGAGTGGATAAAAAAATAACAGACGAGATTAACAGAATATACGCAGACAGACTCCCAGCAGGGGCAGGGGGGGCAGATTAGGGCAGGGGGGGGCAGAGGAGGGCAGGGGAAGGGCAGAGGGCAGGGGGGGCAGAGGAGGGCAGGGGAGGCAGAGGGGGGCAGAGGGGGGCAGGGGAAGATAGGCACGTCAAGATGTACTAGAGATTGAAGAGAGAACCTTCAGGTGAATGCCGGAACATCTGGGCAGAGTTGGTCTCCTACACAAACGATGGACACTCCAGGAGGAGACACTCCAGGAGGAGACACTCAAGGAGGAGACACTCCAGGAGGAGACACTCCAGGAGGAGACACTCCAGGAGGAGACACTCCAGGAGGAGACACTCAAGGAGGAGACACTCAAGGAGGAGACACTCCAGGAGGAGACACCCAAGGAGGAGACACTCCAGGAGACACTCCAGGAGGAGACACTCAAGGAGGAGACACCCAAGGAGGAGACACTCTAGGAGGAGACACTCAAGGAGGAGACACTCCAGGAGGAGACACTCCAGGAGGAGACACCCAAGGAGGAGACACCCAAGGTGGAGACACTCTAGGAGGAGACACTCCAGGAGGAGACACTCCAGGAGGAGACACTCCAGGAGGAGACACTCCAGGAGGAGACACTCCAGGAGGAGACACTCAAGGAGGAGACACTCAAGGAGGAGACACTCAAGGAGGAGACACTCAAGGAGGAGACACTCCAGGAGGAGACACTCCAGGAGGAGACACTCCAGGAGGAGACACTCCAGGAGGAGACACTCCAGGAGGAGACACTCAAGGAGGAGACACCCAAGGAGGAGACAAGAAAATAAGGACATGTAGAAACGGGGAAAAAATGGACACGAAAAATCTAACTCGGAGGCAATGGAACGCGGAGACAGTAGCGTAGAAGAAGGGGAGACAGTGAGGCGCAGAGAGAGAGAGAGAGAGAGAGAGAGAGAGAGAGAGAGAGAGAGAGAGAGAGAGAGAGAGAGACAAAGAAAAGACTGAGGTAAAGAAGAGAAGGACAAACACGACACTGTGGCACAGAAACAGAACGATAAAGAAAAGACTTTATTTTCATTAAACATCATATTATTATCTGTGGCCCATTGAAAGGCTCCCCCGCCCCCACCATCCCCGAAAAAATGGTTCTTTGTAGTTTGTGTAAAACCAACTTACAGAGAGCCTGCTCGGCCTCCCTGAGAGGCGAGAGTCTCAGTCGGTTAGTGGGAGCCGGTCGGCCGAGCCTTTTGTCCGGTCGTGTTGGTCGAGTGGTTAAGGGATCCTGTACATCAGATGCATTGCTTCTGGCAGTATGGGTTCGAGTCACTTCTGGGGTGTGAGATTTCAGTTGCATATATGCCTGGAGACCGTTCAGGCTTGTTCGCATTTGTGTTCCTCACGTGTGCCCCAAAGAATGAGGTGATTTGATAAAATACCATGCCCAAGATTACCAACAGAGTGCCGGCGGGGGGATGGGAATTAGCCTCGGCTACCATCCTCTTTTGTCCGGTCGTGTTGGTCGAGTGGTTAAGGGATCCTGTACATTAGATGCATTGATTCTGGCAGTATGGGTTCGAGTCACTTCTGGGGTGTGAGTTTTCAGTTATATATATATATATATATATATATATATATATATATATATATATATATATATATATATATATATATATATATATATATATATATATTCATTTTGCTTTCCCATAATCTCTCTTTTTAGGTCAGGGGAAACAAGGGCTTACCTCCTCTCATCATAGTGCCTCAGATAGCCTGTTTTTTTCAGCCTAATGGTGCGCCGCTGCCCAATGTACGAGAAATACATGTATATTCAGCATAGTGCTGAGCTGCCAGACGTACTGAGAAATACATGTAATTTTTTTTGCTTTTGTTTTGTTTTTGTAGCCGCGTTGTCGGATGTACGAGAATTCCATGTATTTTCAGTCTAGCGCTGTGTTGCCAGACGCACGAGAACGCTCGTTGCCGGATGTAGGATAATGTCATAGTTGAAATCTGTTTGTGCATCAACAGTTTAAAAAAAAATAAATGTTTTCATGCTTCTTAGATAATACAAAACACACACTTACAAGTTTCTCAGTAAAATCTAGGCCAGAGTTCATCAAATATTTAAGCTACTCCTTACGAAACCTATACATTTCTTAACTATCACTGCGTCTGTGTTGATATTTATTAAACAGTCTACGAGCTTCGTAACATGCACACACACACACACACACACACACACACACACACACACACACACACACACACACACACACACACACACACACACACACACAGGTTGAGAGGCGGGACCAAAGAGCCAGAGCTCAACCCCCGCAAACACAACTAGGTGAGTACACACACACACACACACACACACACACACACACACACACACACACACACACACACACACACACACACACACACACACAAGCTCACACTGTAATTCAAGCATAAGAGTGAACTAGACCAAGCTATTAGCGTTGGAGTCGATTTATGAGTAAAGAAGTAAAGAAGTCTTCGCTCAAATAGATTCACAAGTGAACTTAACAGCAAACAGCAGTAGTGGACGTTGACCTTTGACCTCTGGGGGTAAGCTTGCCTGGCTTAGGAGAGATCTAAGTTAATCCTTGACATAATAGTCGCATCAACACTTCTCTGTGATTAGATGCAAGTTGTTTTATCACAAAATTTAATTATATATAAATATATATATATATATATATATATATATATACCATAAATATATATACCTTCACTTGTACCAGAGGTGGTACCCTCACAACTTTATATATATATATATATATATATATATATATATATATATATATATATATATATATATATATATTTTTTTTTTTTTTTTTTTTTTTTTTTCTCCTTCCGTCTGTCGCGCCCTCCCTCTCCCCAGCACCTGTGCCATATTCCCCAAAGGTACTTCAAGCAGCATTGTGAGTCTGAGCCTGAGACCGACCCCCTGCGGGTCCAGGTACAAGGCTGCATTGCACCTCTTCTGCCTTTGTCGTGACCGCTTCACCCTTCTCCCCAAATGCTGCGGGGTGCCGGCGACCTTTTCTCTTTCTTTGGCTTTTGTTTTTGACGTTGGTAAAGGTCAGTCTGTGGAGGAAGCCGCAGCATCTCCAGGGCTCCTGCGAGCCTTCGTTGGCGGCCCGAGCTTTTGCCTTGGGGAGGTCTGGTGTTGGGGGGACAGGGAGCAGGAGGATAGGAGGATAGGAAGAAGGTAGGGGGTAGGTGGGAGAGGGTGGTGGAGGGATGGTATAGGAGAGGAATTTAGAACAGGATGGTCATCCTTGAATTCACACACACACACACACACACACACACACACACACACACACATACATACACACACACACACATGCATGGGTGATGTTTTACCCATTTGTTTTATCCCCTTTGAGAGAGCAGTGTATACAGGTTTTGACATTGATGCCAGACTGTAGTTGGAATACGTCTTGAGGGAACATCATCACTGGGAACCAGGAAGGAAATGATAGTAGCACCTCCCCCACCTCCCTCTCTTATCTGCATTGTGCCAAGAAATGCCTCTTGTTATATGTAATATTAGCATATTACATATATAATATGTTTCGTTGACGCTGTCAACATATTCAATGGCAAAGTATAAGGTAATATGATTTAGCTGAACCAACGGGATACATATAAGGGAGTGTGAGAGACACAATGATATTGGTCTGGGTCACACAGGTTAATACTAACGTGGTGGGAGTTCATTTTTCAACTTCCTTCTGTAAGTGAAGGAAACCATAAGAAATATTGAGAATCACTCACTCAGGCAGTAAATCACTCAAGTCATGTGTGTAACTTTGTCGGGTTTGGATAATTAAGAAATTAAAATGATCAAATGGTTGTTCATGAATGTCTTGGAATATGTACCGAAAATATTCCGGTACACACACACACACACACACACACACACACACACACACACACACACACACACACACACACACACACATATATATATATATATATATATATATATATATATATATATATATATATATATATATATGACAATGTCAGACCACGGAGGAAAATGAAACAGGAATTTCCTTATCCTTATATTTTCCTCCGTGGTCTGACATTGTCACATTCTTAATCACGTGTTTATTTTCGTGATATACACACACACACATATATATATATATATATATATATATATATATATATATATATATATATATATATATAGATATATATATATATATATATATATATATATATATATATATATAGATATATATATATATATATATATATATATATATATATATATATATATATATATATATATATATAATATACAAATATCCATTTGTGATAACTCATTGTGCGTGTGCATGCGTATATATGTGCACATGAACTATTGCGTGCGTGCGTGCGTGCGTGCAAGAACTATTGTACATGTGCATGGAGTAAATTGTTTGTGCAGGAACTTTGGCAGACGTCCAGAATATTGCCAGACGACAACAACCTTTAAGGTCAAACTGTGTGGACTTGCTTTACAAAGTTCCCCCTTCATACGTGCTATAATACGTTCTTCTTTGACAACTTACCATATAGAATATTCAAGTGTAATTTTGTCCATACCTGGAGCATACCTGGGGATGGTTTCGGGAGTCCTTCTACTTCCCCAAGCCCGGCCTGAGGCCTGGCTCGAGTTAGTGATAACTTGGTCCAATAGGCTGTTGCTTGGAGCGGCCCGCAGGCCCATAATGGTGCTTGTGATAATGATAATTTAGACTCTTGGTGCGTGGTAGGTCACCAGCCAAGATCACTACTTCCCTGCTCACTTTAAGTTCATACGAACGCATTTTTTGTTCTAAGTTACATCACTAGCAGCTCCAAGCTTTTTTTTTCTTAGATGAAGAGCTCGGATTCTTTGATTTCCTCCTGATTTACACCGGGAATTTTTTCTAAAACATTCACACACGTACGTACGAGTGTGTGTGTGTGTATACACATACACACACACACGCGCGCGGTTCTCGCTCTCACAAGAGCGCCTCGTGTTAACAGGAGGGCCGGAGCTGGATTGGAAGTTTGTTAGGCCCCCCATCCTGTCTAGGAGTTCCCAGGTAAGGAAGTAACTTATTTCGAATTGCACTGCCGTCTTTAAGGCTTCGCCTCTCTCTCTCTCTCTCTCTCTCTCTCTCCTCTCTCTCTCTCTCTCTCTCTCTCTCTCTCTCTCTCTCTCTCTCTCTCTCTCTCTCTAGCGCTCACGTGAGTGGAATCCAAGCGGCTCTCAGCGACGTCGCGAACCATAAAGATTAGAATTTTTACCAAATACTCATCTTTATTGGCAGACTGGACATTTTCACAAATCCTGAAGAATATTCTTATATATTTACGATGCTGTGTGTGTGTGTGTGTGTGTGTGTGTGTGTGTGTGTGTGTGTGTGTGTGTGTACACGCGGACGAGTGTATACTATGTATGTTTAGAGTAGTTTTCCTTATTCATATTTGCGTGTTGGGTTCAACTGAAGGTCAAAGGTTATGAGTTTACACATGTGAAAATAATGTTATTGTTGTGTCAGTTGATCAAGAGTGCATTGTACCTTAGCGAACTATAGTGCACTCGGGGATATATATATATGTATATATATATATATATATATACACACACACACCTAGAAGGTATATGTATATGCACACACACACACTTCCGCTTCTCGGTGTATATCCACTGAGAATTTGCTTTAGTCATGGACGATGTTCAAGACTAAGGTATATTTACCTGTGGTTCAGTAAGCTGTTGTGGTGGTGGTAGGGGGTTAATAACCCCACCAGAGGGTGATCTAGGAATTTAAGGCTAACACCGGACCAATAGTGCATTTTGCTTCCAGTAGATGA